GCTCATGAACCTAACAAGGAAATCAAAGACAAAACATATTAATTAAAATAAAAATAATAATAAAATTCTACTAAATTTTGAGTTATAATAGTTGCCTCCTCCTTTTCATATTTTACACTTAATTTTTCATTATTTTGAAATCTTAAGTGGTCGTCAACAGATTGGCGACTCCACTGGGGACAGAACCCAGAATCTTTGGTTTCCATATTCTGGGTTCATGAGGGTCAAGCTAATACTTTAACTTTGGGGAATTTTCAACTTTTGATTTTTCTTTGTTTGTTGAGTCTTTGTGGGTCTTTGTTATTTATTGTATGTGCTTGTCGCGTGTTGCTTGTTGTTTGTTTGCTCGTTGTTTTAGTGGTTGCTTTGAGCGTTTTGTCTTCAAGTAGTTACCTTGCTATATCTTGACATGCATCATACCTTGCTCACATGTTCATGCATCATATCATCTCACATGCTCATCCATCATTGATATTATATGCTTATTCATCATGCATCAATGCTTACATGCCTACTTACTTGTGTGTGGATATACTCACCTTTTACACTTGGCTATGGAGTACTCAGTGAGTCTCTTCCCTCTTGTGTGATTATTTATATCTTGTTGCATGCTAAGTGTTGGTTGCTTTGTGTTACTAACCTTTTACATTTGGCACGGGAGTACTAGGTGAGTCCCTTCCTTCTGTGTAAGTAGGTTTGTTTGTGGATGATATATTTGTTGAGTGCTTTACATGCTTTATTTGATTGCCGTGGGATATATGTTGTTGTTTTTGCAATTGCCATTGTGCAGGTTATTGGAGTGTCATGCCCCTTTGCACACACTCACCCTCATTTTGCATTAGGTCCATGTCGGAGGTGAACCCAACCTCTAGTCTGAAATCCTTACGAATTTGGCTTGGAAAAGCAATTCTTCCCGCTTTGAGAAGTAAGATCGGTTCTCGTTAGGTTGTTTCCATTGGTTAATACGACACCTAATGATGTAATATCGTCCTGTGTATTAGCTTTCGGAAATATCTCCTGTTGATTCTGAAAGGATAAATGGTTAAAAAGGCCTAATGCCTTTTAGGAAAACATGTATTGACCTTAGAGAAATACCAACCTGAAAACATGTTTCCCTTAGCATCCCACTCGTGAGGCTAAGCATCCCATGTTTAAGACACAAAAGGGGCATTTTACTTCACTAACCTTTGTTTGAGCATATGGCAGCTTATTTTTGCACACTTAATGAGGTATAGCATGTGAGGTTATGATTTATGTTTAACTTCTTTAAGCCTTTGTTTAGGTAAGATCATGCATTAGACATGGATTTTACCGAGGATACAACTAGACAAGGGAAGAGACTTGGTGAAGATGTCACATCTCTTTCTACTACCAAGAAAGCTAGGGAATCAATCTTTTCAGTCAATGCCTCCAAACCCAACTTGAAATTGTTAAAAGAGGCTTACGGTTTGTTGTCTTCTAGGGAGAAGCATGACTTAGGAGTCCGATTTGGGTGCATTGGGGATCTATTGTCAATGGTGCCAAAATGGAATTTGTTCAGAGTTATGTTGAAATTTTATGTACCTCAATATCAAGCATTTGTATTCCCATAGTTTGAGTTGGTGCCCACCATTGATGAGTATCATCACTTCTTGCGGTGTTTTTCTGCGGTGGATTCTTGTACCTTTACTCCTTAAGCACAACTTGAGCACCTTGGAGGGAAATTTGTTACTTGAGAACTTTTGTACAAACATCAAAAATCTAGATTTGTCAAGGAAAGCTTGCTTGAATGAATACAATCTTTCTTTTTTGTCAAAAGTGTATCCGATGAAGTAAAATCCATGATTAGGATAGAAATTTTCATTTTTCAAGTCTCATATCACATATGCATATTCATTTGATTATACATAATCACTCATTATCTTCTTATTAATATCTTTATCTGGTCATTTTGTGTTTAGTTCTCAAGCCCTTTTTGTTTGGACCATCTGTGATCTTTGAAAAGAAATATGGATTCTCACACATCCAAGATGCAAGCCCCTATCACACAAGACTTTGTTGGAGTTTTCTGCCCATACTCAAAGGCTCAATGAAGAAACCATCTCTTATCTACACCAATTGATTAAGGACAATGAACACCTTTGCAAAGCCAATGAGTAGTTGGAAGGGCAACTACAAGACATGACTATCAACTGTAATTGCCATGGAGGATGTGCACTGTCAACTCCAAGCCTAGAGGCAAAAGAACAAAACTCTTGTTGAAGAGAATTCTAGCCTGCATGAAGTTATCATCGACATAACCGTTTTGGTGACTCAATTTTGAAGGGAGGATAGCAGAGACTCATCACCACATTGCTCAAAAGACCCATCCGATTGAGAGGGGATTCTTCCAACCAGTCTTCGACTTCATCATTGACATATCTAAGGTGCTCAAAAAGTTGTATAAGGATTTATGTTTTGTAATAAGTTTGCTTTAGTTTTAAAAGAACGAAGGTTTGTAAGCACTTTGAATGCAATTTTGTAATGCTTGCTAACTTTGTTTAAAGTGCATTCATGTTTTAGCACAACTCATTGTAAAACAAGAAAATATCTTTGTACAAGATGGGAACGCCAATGTGAGAATCCATATGGAACTTCAAAAGGCAAACTGATGGTCCAATCAAAAGGGGCTAAAGCCTCTTTAGTTTTCTAATTTTTTCTTTTTGTCTTTACATTTTCATTGATAGGCAAAATTCTTCTAATCATAGCTCCAAGGTGAAACGTCTTCAAAAAGTAGTGTTCTCCATATTTGCTCAGATCTAGAGTAATCAAAATGTCTGAGGAAAATGCTGCTACTAATCCAGAGAAATCAGCCGTGGATGAGAAGGTTGATAAGTTGGAACCTACAATGCAAACTATGGCTACTACTCTTCAGACTATCAGTCTCACTTTGTCCACTTTGACTACTAGTTCGATTCCTTCATCTGCATCCTTAGTGCCCACAACACTAGCTCCACTTGTCCCTATTCCATCATCTACCATCACATCAAGTAATCATGCTAAGGATCCCATGGTCACACAATTGCAATTTCCACATATTTATGAGAATCAACCTCTAATGGGGGAGTCATCTTTGCATGCTCCACAAATATCATCTCTGCCTTTTGAAGCCTCATACCCACCACTCGAGATGAACAAGCCTACCATGCCCACAACCACACTTCTTACCCTTAACATACCACCTTCGATAGGACAAGTACCAACTATTCAACCTACTCCTTCAGTTGAGATATTGAGGCCTGCTTTAAAGGATGGGAAGTCAAGAAAGGTTGATCACAAGCTGCAACAGTTAGAAGAGGCTTTGAAGGCTATGCAAGGACCGCAAGCTTATGGTTCCATTGATTTGGATGATCTTTGCTACTATCCAGGAATTCAGACAAATTTCAAGTTCAAACAGCCAAATTTTGACAAGTATGATGGCTCGGGTTGTGTAATATCCCAAATTTTCTAAAATTCTAGCATTTAAGCTGAGGACCTTTGTGTGTGAAAATATTATTTTGGGGCCTAATAGTGAATATTTTGAAATTTGAGGGATTTAAAAGAGTAAAAGTTTGGATAAGGATCAGTTATTTTTTTTCCCTTCTTTCTTTCTTCTTCAGCCCGATTCTCCTCTCCTTCTTCTTCTACCCTACACCGAACAAGGCCAGCCACCGACTACACACCCTCCCTTGAAAAGTCGGTAAGAAGCTTGGTTTTTGCCTTTCTTTTCTTGCTCAAGAACAAGATTTAGGAGCTTGAAATCTTTCCCCTCTGTAGAAAATCTCGGATCTGCTCTGCTCCTTCCTTCCTTTCGTCGGCTGCTCTTGCTTGTGGGTGTGATTTTTTCGGTTCTAGTAAGGGGAAACAGCCATTAATTTCTCTTTTCTTCCTTGAATTGGCTTGGGTTTACCTTAATTTCTCTTGGTTTCTCTAATTTCTGATAGATTCCCCCTGAATTTCTCCTTCATTCCCGTCGGCCTTTCCCCAAACTACAGCTCTAGTTTTTGCTGCTAAATTCTGGTATATGACAGCCCTTTTAAGCCTAAAATTATGCATTAGTTGCTAAATTTAGTCCAGTTGATTGTTGCCCTATGTTGTCCGAATTTTTGCTAAAATGGGGGATGAATTCCGGCAGCTTTAGGACAAAATTTAAGCATTAATTCAAGTGAAATTTATGTGATTGAGTGTTAATTGACTGTTGTGAGATTTTGGAGAAAAATCCCGTGAGATTAGCTATGGTTTGGCCAATTTTTGGAAGTTGCAGTTATTGTTCACTACGTAGTTACTGTTCATGGGTACTATTCATGGGTACTGTTCACGCACTAATGGCCAACAATAGGAGAATTTAAATGTTTAGTTATACTGAGAATGAAATTGATATGTTTGGTCATATGGTTGAATTTTGTGTGAAGTTCATTGGTTAGTAAATTTGCGAGGTTGTGCTAATAATTCTAGTAAAGTCTAAATGTATTTATTTGGAATATTAGGTGCTGTTATGGCTTAGAGCACTTGGATTGAGTCCTCGATTTTATGCGATTTGAGGTCAATAAATTATGGTAACACCCTCCGATTTTAAAGCACATTTTAGCTTGTTTTTGAAGTGGTGGCGGGACTAAACCCGTTTTACACAAGTATGATCGATTTGAAATGAAATTATTATTCTTTTTATTGATTTGAGCATCCCTTCTTGGAGTTTACTTAACTGCCCTGATGATTTGGAAATTATTTGTGAATTATGATTTTCTTGTTAATTTCTGCTTGTTTTGTCTCCGATATGGTCATGTTATTCGTGTGCCCGCTAGTGGGAGGTTTATAAACGCTAGCACATGTCGACATGTTATTGATAGAACCGGTTCGTTTCTGTTATATTGTTATCCTGCTAGTGGGATTATACACTAGTAAATCGTGTGCCTGCTAGTGGAAGGTTTATAACACTGGCCATGACCTATAGAGGAGACGTCTATTTCATTCCCGTACGGTATTCGTTTTTCTTGATTACACTATTGGCATGCTTGACGTTTAATTAAGGGCAATCCATATTTACTTACTGAGTTATCTCATAGTTTTTCCTTATCCACCATTTCAGGAAGCGAAGTCAAGGACGAGGAAAAATGAGGGGAGTGACGAGTTAGAAGGCTAGCCATCTTGTAAATTGAATATAGATTTTAGATATAAATCGTGATCTTGTAAACTAGACTTTATTCAGAGATTTTATGATATTAGGGCAACTTTAAAATTTTATCTTCAGATTTTGTGGTATCAAATTGTGGTATGATAAAGTTCCGAGCCTTGTGCATTTGTGGGACCCTCTCACAAGTGTACGACGTTTGCCACGTCCCCGAATTTGGGTTCTGGGGCGTGACAGGTTGTCCTTATGCCCACCTGCAGATGTATGCCAGGAAGATGGCACCTTATGCCAATGATGAGAGGGTGCTCATTCATTATTTTCAAGACAGTCTCTCAGGCCTAACAAGTGTTTGGTTCTCAACACTTGATGAGAAGAAGATTCGCACTTTCAAGGATGTTTCTCAAGCTTTTATGAAGCAATATGAGTACAACATCAGCTTGGACCCTACAAGGGATAGCTTGCAGAGAATTACCAAGAGAAGTAATGAGCCCTTCAAGGAATTTACTTAACGGTGGAGATCTGAAGCAGCTAAGGTCATTCCACCTCTCACCGACAGTGAAATCTACTCTCTCTTTATCAAGTCGACTACCAAGACCTTCCGTGCATAATTAGCTCCTTGTGTCAAGTATACTTTTGCTTAGCTAGTGACAGCAGGTGAACAGATTGAGGATGGACTTAAGACAGGCATAATTCTGGACTTTCAAGCCATCTAGAAATAGTTAGAACAAGTCAAAATGGGCAGTGCCGGATCTACTTCAAAAAAGTTTGCACCCGAAGGAAAAAAAGAAGATGAAGAAGCTTTGAGTCATATTTCCACTTGTCACACAAAACCAGTTTATAATGTGGCAAAGATTCCTTATAATCGATAGCCTCAATTGCAATACACTCTGGCCTTTAAGCCTACCCCCTACTCTTAAAGGAGGCCAAACTTTAATGCTCATGCTCCAGTTAGGCAACAATTCCCATCGACTAATAGGCCAAGATAGTTCACCAAGCTTCCAATCCCTTACAGTGAGGTGTTGAAACAATTAGTGGCAGTGGGTTTGGGGGAGACATTACAAACGTACCCTATTCGACCACCTTATCCGCATTGGTATCATCTACAAGCTAAATGTGAATATCACAATGTAATGGGTCATAGTACTGAACATTGTATAGCTTTGAAGCATAAAATTCAAGATCTCATCAATGAGGGCAAACTTCAGCTTGATGCTAAGGAAGCCAAGGATGCCCCAAACATCACTCAAAATCCTTTACCTCCACATGATGCAGACACAATGAATATGGTCACCTTTGATGAGGTTGAAAAGCCGATGTTCGAGAATGCTGGTTCTTGGTCTCTTGATGAATTGTTTGCCATCTTGATAGAGTATGATTTGATTCAGCCAATTGCACAAATGAGCTTGAATGTTTCACCTGCGATGATTGATGATGCCTTGGTGTCTCCTTACCACTCCAATATGAAGGGGCATACTTTGCAAGATTGTGAAAATTTTCAAAAAAGGTTAAGGAGTTGCAAGCAATGGGATCTTTGAAGTTTGTGTCTACTCAGGTGTCAGAAAAATGTATAGCACAGTTTGAGGAGGTGGTTGATATCACTGATGAGGTCTGTTCTGATGATGAAGAAGACTATTTTAGCTTCAACAATCTCTTTGGGCCGGCCAACATGGCAGATCCTAAAGAGAGGTGGGGGAGGATACTAGCTGAAAAGACATTTATGGAGAAGCACCCCAACTTCCATCTTGTGCATCATGCGAAAGCTCCAATGGGTTCACATGAGTCTATGCCTCTTGAATCAGTGAAAGAAGAATCACTATGTGACTCATGGGGAAATTTGATTATGAATGCTCTAGATGAGGAAAAACCAAAATTTGATAAGGGAATTTCACTAGTCAATGAAAGCTTTCAGGCTAATTGGACAACAAAACTTCTCCCTGCAGCTTTCATCTTTGAGTAAAAGGAGTCAGCCTCTAGTAGTTTTGCTTGTGACTACGTGAAAGGAGGGATTCAACAAGCACTTTTATATTTTCTGAAATTTATGTTATCATGCTTCTAGTATTCCCATGCTTTCCTTTTCAATGAAACATGTTGCAATCCTACCCATCGTTGTAAAAATATCATGATGCAACCTTACTTGAACTTTCATTGTACAAGCCATTTTAACATGTTCTTATCTTTGCTTTATTATTATTTGGCCATTTATTTACTTCCATCCATAATTTTCAAGCCTACTAATGATGAATCTTTAAACAATGATGCCATATCATACTTTATATATGAGATGGATGATTAGACCTATAAAGAAGAAGACAATGAAAGTGTTGATCCTTCTCATGAACTAACTCAAATGCTAAGAGAGGAAAAGCCAATGCTGCAACCAAATCAAGAGCTAGAAACCATTAATCAGGGCACTGAAGATGACAAAAAGGAGATGAAAATCAATGCTCAAAGGAGAGAAAAAAGAGTTGATAGTCTCAACTTGTTTGATGAGAAAAGATTGGCAGCTCTTTGTCATGGCCAATGTTATCAGTGACAAATGGCAGCAGCATATAACAAGAAAGTCAGACCTAAAGTGTTTCACCAAGGAGATCTCGTCTTAAGGAAGATCATGCTAAATGAAAAGGACCCTAGGGGCAAATTTGCACCAAACTATGAAGGGCCCTATGTTGTTAAAGAAGCTTTCTTTAGAGAAACACTCTTGTTGAGATATCCATATGGAATTGATTATCATCATCCAGTGAATAACAATATTATCAACAAAAAAAAAAAAAAAGGAGTTAGGTCAAACCCGGGAAGGGTAGCCTAACAAGTTAAATGTTTCCTTGACTTGGAAAGTGGAACTCCAATGATGAAAGGCCCTGTTTTTCCATCCTAAACAGTTGAACATTACCCTTTTGCTTACCCCTTTTGAGCCCAAAAAAGGTAATCATTCAAATTTACAAAAGCCAGAATGATTTTCTTTCTATTAACCCACATTAACGATCAAGGAAGTGAAGAGAGGAATGTGAGGGGAATACATGGATTTTGAGCCTTTATCCTTTCTTTCATCGTAACCTAACCAAGCCATGTTACAAGCCTATGTAAAGTTCTTATTTGAGGGTTTGAAGCTTTCTATGTCAAGGGGCATACAAAAAAGAAGAAGAAGAAGAAGAAGAAGAAGAAGAAGAAGAAGAAGAAGAAGAAAGAAAGAAAGAAGAAACAGCAAGGTTACAAGCAGTGGTAGTTGGAAACTTCCTTATTCTGAGCATGAGAGTTAGTTCATGAAAAGGGGAAAGATTTGAAGTGTCAATATTCAGAAAAGGAATGAGACTTTCTCATGGACTAAAAGACTAAGGGGCAGAGTTACAAAGAAAAGATGATCTAAAGCAATGATTTATGGTCTGAATATCTTGTAACCAGTTGCATCAAAATCTTGTATTATTGGCCAGACTTCTTTTTGTTACTATTTGAAGTGGACCTTTTGATCATCTTGACCTTGCTTGAATCTAATGAAATAAATCTTTGCAATCATTCTGTTTGCATTTTCCTCCAACCTCACCTTTTATTCAGTATTGGGAATGCTAGTTGAACATGAGGTTCTATTTCAATTAATATAATTGCTTATCTAATCAAAATCTCTTGATGAATTTGAAAGGTTGGATGAGGATTATAGAGAGAAAGGAAGCTAAATTTGATAGCTAAGGAGTCATCCATGCTAGCTGAAACTCCAATAGCAAATGAAAGTTCAACTTATTGGGGCAATATTTTCAAATATCCCCTCATGGGAAACAGATGAGATTTTACCTCTTACATTCAATAGGACATTTGTGAACGTGAATCTTTTGAGCTGCTACATAGGGATAATCACTTATTGATGAATGTGCAACATGAAAGACATAGAACTCTTGTCAAATATGTACATCCAATATGTTTAGGGAAGTTTCTTAACCTCTCTTCATTCTACCTTATGTTATATATGAAGATTGCCTCACTTACATATGTTTCATGGCTGCAGATCTCTTAATCATTACTTTCATCTAGCCTTTTGGCTGCATTTTACAATCATTAGGCCCTGATACTCTATTTTTTTTTTTGTCATTCGACCATGTTGATACTTTACTTTTTTGGGTCACTCAACCATATTGATACTCTACTTTTTTCTATCACTCGACCATACTCCTTTCGGTCATTTGACCATACTAATCCACCACTTTTTTGGTCATTCGACTATACTGATACTCTACTATTTCGGTCATTCGACCATACTTATACTTTACTATTTTGGTCATTCGACCATACTCATACTCTACTCCTTTCGGTCATTCAACCATACTCATACTCTATTGTTCCGATCATTTGACCATACTAGTACTCTACTTCTTCTGGTCATTTGACCATACTTATACTCTACTGTTTCGGTCATTCGACCATATTGATACTCTACTCTTTTCGATCATTTGACCATACTCATACTCTATTGTTCTAGTCATTCGACCATACCGATACTCTACTTCTTCGGTCATTTGACCATTGTGGTTATATAACCATCTCAACTCAACTTGCTCAATTAAAAAACTGTTTCTTACTCGGTCAAAAAAAAACCATTTCTTACTCGGTTAAAAAACTGTTTCTTGCTCGATTAAAAAACCATTTCTTGCTTGGTTAAAAAACCATTTCTTGCTTGGTTAAAAAACCATTTCTTGCTTGGTTAAAAAACCATTTCTTGCTCGGTTAAAAAACCGTTTCTTGCTTGGTTCAAAAACCATTCTTGCTTGGTTAGAAAACCGTTTCTTGTTTGGTTAAAAAACAATTTCTTATTTGGTTAAAAAATTGTCTCTTGCTTAGTTAAAAAACCACTCCTTACTCGGTTAAAAAAAACATTTCTTGTTTGGTTAAAAAACCATTTCTTGTTTGGTTAAAAAACCATTTCTTGCTCGGTTAAAAAACCATTTTTACTCGGTTAAAAAATCATTTCTTGCTTGATTAAAAAAAAAAAAAAA